CCAGCCCCCCCTCCCTCGAGCCAGCCCATAAACCCGTCAAACCACCCCTTCGCGAGGTCCCACGCCGCGAGCGGGACGCACAGCCCAGGGCCCCTTTAAAGACCCCAGGGACGAGGCGGAAAAGGACGGAACCACTCCCCCCCCCCTCCTTCGCGCCCGCGTCCGTTGGGATCCAAAAGGGCGTGTAGAACCGCAGAAGCCGACGGGCGTCGCCATGGGCCCGGTACAGCTCCGCATAGCACGCGGTGGATACCAGGCGATCCATATCCGCCAGCCGCGCCGCGTGTTCGCCCCGTAGGGCCGAAAACGGCGAGCGATAACTTCCCGACGCGACCGGAATGAGCAGCCGCGAGGGGAACGCGGCCTCGGGCGGCGCGCGATTCGACTTTCGGGAAGCGGCCCCATCGCCCCGGAGGGATTTGCGAACGTTGGCGTGCAGACGATTCAGACGCCGCGCCTGACGCGCCAATAATTGGAGCACCACCGCGTCGGTCAGCACGACGCGCAGGAACTCCTCCGGGGTCGGGAGGTTCGCCGGCATTCGGTTGGGATATTCGGACCAGGGAGGGCCGCGGATGCTGTTTTCCGCGCCGTATTCCCCGCCCGATCGATCCCCCGGCTCCTCTTGATGGGTGGTGGCTGATAAGAACCTTCGCCAAAGGCCATCCAGAACTTGCATCGGTGCAAGTCCCGCATCGAGGCCTTCCTTGCAGATGTGAGCCACCAGAAGTTGAATCTCGGGAATTTGGTCGGGCGAAATGACTAATTTGGACGAGCTATCCTGACGACGCCCCTCAGGGGGTGGCGCCATTTTATCCTGCAGTTCCCCGCCATCCATTACGCCAAGCTCCGAGAGCAACTTCGCATCCATCAAGGCGTACACCGCAGGATCGTTTGGCAAGATATCGTCAGGGATGTGCGCATCGGTAAGTAGGACCCTCTCCTCTTTACCAGACTCTTTGTTCGCCTGTGCGTTTGCAGACAAGGAAGATGAGCGGAGGCTTTCTGCAGAGGTCGCCGTCGAGAACGCCCGTCTAAGAGTTTTGTGGAAGGCGCAATAACGCCTCCAGGCGTCGTCAGGGGCCTTCCTCGTGCTTGTCTTCTCCGCCTCCGTGGAAGCGTCGTTGAGCGGCACTCGTTGGGAAGAAGATTGGAGAGAATGGGCATTGGACGTGCGTGGATCACGCGACTTTGCATTAACCGGAGTGCCGTGTTGATGCCGCGTAGAATGGAGATAAAGTAAACGCACCGCCGCGTATCGTCGTAGCATTGGTCCGCCTGATAGCACAAGACCACTTTAAGCGTCTGCCTTGTGTTTAGAAATAATTGGAAAGAGAAATACAAGCCAGTAAAGTGAGAGCAATAATTATATCGATAATAGTAGTACCTACTAGGTTGGTAAAAGGTTAACTGTACTGAAGCATGAAAAGACAAGAGATGTACAAGTCTGGTACAAATTTAGACGTTTACACGTTTTCACCCAAAAATGAGTGCATTGAAAAGAGGAATGAGGTGCACGAGATGGTCCCTGAACCATAATTAAAAAACCGCCCAATTCACTCGCCGTCCGACCTTTCAGCCCTTATAGTAGACGCCGTGGCGACGTACTTGACCTGGACGTAGCGCTCGGTACGATCGGCCGCCGTGCGCGTTTTCACGTGGGCTGTGATGACCCGGCAGACCGCCGTCCCGCAGCCCGCGCAGCAGCCCTCCAACAACGTCGGGTCGCCGCGCTGATTCCCATCGCGCAAACACCGCTCCCGCCAGGTGAGCGGCTTCCCCGCCCGGCCCATCCGGCCGGCGTCGCGCGCCATCCCCCCCTCCACCTCGAGATCCGCCGCGGCGAGGGCGCGCGGCGGCGTCCAGCGGTGGAG